TCCATATTGCATTACTTGCTTTTCTGCCATTAGAGCATATTGCCAAGCATCCTCAAGATTGTACAAATGGACAATTCCTATTTCATCTTTAATATGTTGGTTACGGCAGCCCCTCCAGCACTATTGTTTCCTTGGGAATTGTCATAAATCTGATCAAATATGGGTTTCCTAGCTCCATATCACATTACTCGTTTTTCTGCCATTAGAGCATATTGCCGAGCATCCTCAAGATTATACAAACGGACAATTCCTATTTCATCTTTAATACTTTGATTTAAACCTGCTAGATAATGTGACGTTGATTGTTCTCAAGTTTCTTTCAAACCAACCCTATAAGATAAGTTGTTGAATTCTGAAGTATACTCTTCTACTGACATTCTATTCTGTTTCAATGTATGAAATTTTTCATACAACTCCATTGCATAATCTACTGGCAAAAATTGTTTCCGCATCTTTGTTTTCATATGTTCCCAGGTGCTGATTTTTGGTTTGCCCTGTCGAGAACGCTGTTCTTCAACTCTCTTCCACCATTGAAGTGCAGCTCCTTTCAACTTCAGCTTCACAAAAATCACCTTCCTATTTTCTGCCATGTGCTTCCAGTCGAAATAATTGTCCAAATTAGCCTCCCAATCTAAATAATTTCCTGCGTGCATCTTTCCATGGAAATCAGCAACTTCTATTTTAATTCCTTCACCATTCAAATCAAGGGCATGTATCAACCACTCTTCCAATCCACCTCTTACCACTTGATTTGCGGTTCCAGCTTCATGAAAAGGGTTATCATCCCTTCCATCCACACTCTCATCCTCCAGACTACCTTCCGGAGTGTCTGCAGGGGTATGGTCACCCTCCGGCATCTCCATACGGGCTCCCATGGGTTCCTGTCACTGTAAAGCTTGCACAGCTCGTGACAAGTCCTCAATCATGCGTCACATCTCAGTTAATTCTGCTTGTTGGCCTTTATTTCCTCTGCCACGACCAGCCATAGCTCTGATACCAATTTGATGCAGGGAAGGTAGGGGTAGAACAAACAGTAACTGAGAACTTCATAAAATTAAAGATGGAACCAATAAAACTTAGGTCTTCAACCTTAAGTTTATTCTCAAACTAAAATATCATAACAAAAACTGGTTCTGAAATCTACGAAGAATAACTATTTATACTAACAATAGCCAAGAATCCTAATTCAATTCTAATTTGAATTTCTAATAAACTATGAACTCCTAATAAGCTACTAATTCTAATCCTAATTAAAAATGACTTTCCTAAAATTAAAACTTGGATTTCAAATAGAACTCAAACAAATAATTAAAGCTTTATGTTCCTGCATCAGTTTTGTTCCTGAATATTCTGCTTTAAAATTTTTGTGTTGAGTGGTCATTGTGTGGCTGATATTTTCCAACTATTTGTAACTTTTTCCTGTAGCTTGGAAACACTGAAGAATATATTGATGGACAATTCACTGGAAATCTGGGGGAGATTTTGATAAGGTAATTTCTGGTTTAATTCATTCTCAATTTTATTC